TGTGTGTGTGTGTGTGTGTGTGTGTGTGTGTGTGTGTGTGTGTGTGTGTGTGTGTGTGTGTGTGTGTGTGTGTGTGAGCTGGTTGTGTTATTTTGCGGCTTGTTAAATAAATGTGTTCTGTTCAGTAAAAGTATAGTTCGTGGTATCCTGAACGCGACAGGTACTATACTTAACCAAATTTAGTGAGAAATAGAAATACTTACTGAAAACTGAGAAAATTAGGGCCAAAAATTTACTGTTAACTGAGATTTGGGGTAGGGAAGACCGGGGACAATTGTAACACTTATTTCCAAATCGGACATATCAACTTTATTATAGTTAAATTCTTACTTCAAGGTATATGAAATTAAAGATGCATATCTTGGCTTGAAATATGACTAGGTTTGGGTTAAGTAAAACAAGTTATTTTCAAGCCATTATCATTTCAAAACTGGAAGTAAAGTGTTACAATTGCCCCACAACACGGGGCAATTGTAACACACCAATGGGGCAATTGTAACACACCAATGGGGCAATTGTAACACATACAATTGTACCAACAAATCATATCCCTCAGAATGATTTTTTATATTTTTTATAAAGGTGACACGTTGGACAGATTTTTAACAATTAAACAGCAATTTATAGAACCACAATAAAATAATTTTAATAAAAACTATGACGAATATGCTTGACTCATTTACATATGAATAAAATATATAAATAGGCTACTTATTGCCTTGTGAACAAAACATATTTACAGACCCATTAATTCAAAGTTATGTAGTTTTCATGTCTGAGCTTATAGATAAGCTACTTTTTTGCCTTATAAACAAAACACATTTTGTAAAACACATACTTTTTATACATGCCAAGGGGCAATTGTAACACGTAACAACATTTGCCCCCGAGGAGACGGCCATAATTTGGGGGCTGTTTTTGAATCTTAGCATTAGTATTCGTCAATGAAACTTTTACCAAATACAGTACTAAAAACCTATTTTTTTAAGATATACAAATGACAGTGATAGCTCAAGTACATATTTGTCCAGAAAAAAACATTACGTAATTCGAGATTTTACTTACCTGCTAAAAAACGATGTTTTGGCTGTCAAATGTTCTTCGATGCGTAAACCTGCCTACCCTCAGGACAGCATGTGGGGCAATGGAATGTGCATGCGCTGTGAAGAGCGTATACATATAGCACGTTTCTACTAGGAATGAGGGCCTCTGTTACATTTGCCCCGTGTTACAATTGTCCCCGGTCTCCCCTACCCCATTACATCAGGGCCCTCTTGAATGTACTGGTCACAAAATAAATACATAACAAACATAGTTTACACTGTTAAATGATGTAAGGCATTTGCAACATATAAATGACAGTGTTAAATTTTCGAACCTGTTCCACAGCTTTGTTCACAGCAGTTCGTAGGTCGTCGTCCGAGACGAGACTTCGCCCACCTGCTTTAATTAAATTGTCATGGCAGAACTTTCGAACAGAACGCTCTGATGTTCCTCTATCGTCTGATACATTACTCTTGAGCTAGTCTGCTACCTGCGCGTGTGTCATATGCTGAATTTCTATTAAGTCTTTTATGAGTCCGTGGAATTCTTCTAAACATGCCATGTTCGATTGTTTAAATGGCAGACGAACAGAGCAGACAGAATCACTACTGGTCCTTTACCGTTTATCGTTGTTGTGCGAGAAAAACGGAAAACGAATTCGTTTATCGCTTACCGTTTTTCGTTATCGTGCATGAAAAACAAAAAAAGAAATAACTACCATTTTTCGTTTTTTGTGTTTTGTTTTAAAGTAAGAAAAACCAAAAGACGGTATATACACGGACCATCCTAGTTCCGGAGACCCCCATTTTCGAACATAGACGGTTCCAGAGCATACCACATTCAACAAACATTAGTTCCAGAGCCCCCCCCCCCATTTTTGACTTCGCAGTGGCACATACCTACCATAATGTGGAGTGAGTGCCCCCCCCCCCCACCTCCGGGGTTTCATCTCATTGGTATATGTTGCTCCTTGGTTCTCTGCACAATTTTTTTTTGTCAAAATAGTGCCACGGCAGTGCCGTGCTGCCATGGCGGCCACTACGGCCTTGCCTATGTACAGTAACTTTATAGACATAACGCTCATAGGGTCGATGTCTCCCTGCCCTCTGTTTGACCTGGCTTGTTCAAAAAGGGTTAGTCAGAAAGATCTGAAGGAGCCAGCTAGGTCAAACAAAAGTCAGGGAGACATAGACCCTACCTGCATAACTTAATCTCCGCTATCTCTCAGAAATTTTGCGGCGACGCGTGACTGCATATACTACCAATCAGTCAGACGTAAGGCAGTGACAAGCTAGCAAGGTGCCCCTGCGACACACACCCGCACGCACGCACGCACGTACGTACGCACGCACGCACACACGCACGCACGCACGTACGTAGTCGGTTACATCTAGCTGCCTCTATACGTGGACAACGAGACGTACGGGACTATCTGATAGACTGACTTGCATCTGATCTGGTGATTGCATCTGCTAGAACAGGTTTGGAGATTGGGGCACACACTCACACATATATAGGTATATCAGGAGTTAATGAAGACAAATCAGGTTGATGAAAAATGCACGCACGTACGCACATACGTAGGCCTATATACGTAGTCGGTTACATCTAGCTGCTTCTATACGTTACGTGGACAACGAGACGGGACTATCTGATAGACTGACTTGCATCTGGTGAGATATCATCTACATTCCAACGATGAAGCAGCCAACTCTCCTTCTCATCACTCTATGTGCTCTACTCGTGGTAGTAGCGGGTGAGTTATATTATACATATACAATAGACTCTACAGGGGGTCATACCTATGTGTCCCGGTACCTATGTGTCCCGGTACCTATGTGTCCCAGTACCCAGGTACCTATGTGTCCCGGTACCTATGTGTCCCAGTACCCCGGTACCTATGTGTCCCGGTACCTATGTTTTCCAGTACACGAAACAAAGGATTTCAGGATTAAGCCTAGGCTGTTACGTCAGCAAACAAAAATTTAAAATGATTTTTAGTTAATTTTCAAATACAAAACTGTCAGTTCAGTTCACAATTTTTGCATTAAAAGCGGGGGACACACCATGCGAAATTCGCATATATCATATTAATATATATTCTATATATCATTATAAATGTTCAATTTTCCATTATCGTTTTTTTTCCATGACTTTTATATGACTTCCATATATTTTAATATATTATAATGAATGCGATTAATTTTGAGATTAATTCAGAATTTTTTTCGTTTGTGTTAAAAGAATTTTGAGTCCCGTATTTAAAGGGTTAGGGCTGTAATTCAGTATTATTTCATTTGTAATAAAAGACATTTTAAGGGCGACATACTGAGCATAGTTTTATTCTCTCATGACTTTAAATAGTTCCCCCTTTTAAGATGGGGGAACATTGGTACCGGGGAACATAGGTACCGGGACACATAGGTACCCGGGTACTGGGATACATAGGTACCGGGACACATAGGTACCGGGAAACATAGGTACCGGGACACATAGGTACTTGGGTACTGGGACACATAGGTACCGGGACACATAGGTATGGACCCGATTGTACATATAGCTAGTTCGAATAACCTGCTTGAACTGACTTTTAACACGTTATAAGCAAATCAAACCAAGGAATTAATATGTGAACTGTTGCGTATTTCTCTGTACTTGTAGACAAGTGTTTTCCATGTTTTCTTAATTTGAAACCACGCTGTTTGTGTTTTAGGTATGCCTACAGCTGGAGACATGCCCCGAGACATGCCCGCATGTAAGTTAGGCCTATGCAGCGTTAATTCTCACTTATACAAACGTAATAATTAAACTCACAATACTAACGTCCACCCAGCCAGTATAGATACTAAAGTTTTTTCAAGCTAATTCATGAATTTCATGAGATGTGCTTTTATATAGTTGCTTGACGATCTGCAGCCCGGATATCCGCGCGAAGCGCGCAAACGCCGCGCAGCGGCGACACAATGACTTAATCGCTGCCCTTATTTAGAATACTTCTCACGAGGCCCTTCTGGGTATAGGATAAAGCCGTATAATCGGTCAATTGAGGAGTTGTGGCGATTGCAGAAGCCTTTCGACTAGGCACGTAGGGCGAGAATAAATCCAAATACTCGTTTTTGTTGCTTTTTGGCTCGGCGCGCGTCGTTTTCGTGTAGAAAAATAATTTCCCCTTTTCGCTGATTTATGCCCTGACATTAATTTGGAAGTTATCGCCACCCATAGATGGCGCAACGAGTCCATCTACGTACCATTTTCAAGTTTTTTTTTAAAAAAACGATCGGCTCCATGACCTAGACTGCCGCGCGGTGCACAGTTCGACACGCTAGCGTAACTCACTTCAGTGTAGCCAATGATAGTTGGCTGAGTGAAGGTCGGTAGCCGTCTAGCCCTGACTCGTCACTGCCGCATGAACTTCCCGTATCCATCTTAACGCTCCAATCTGATGTTCTCATGTTTGCCATTATGATTTTATGACGATGTTATCTGGATTCTGGAAAAGCTCCGCCTTCGTGGCGTGGCGTCGTGGCGAGAATTTCGTCAGTCTCTGTGTGATTTCGCGTGACACAGTTCTCTTACGAACAGAGACATTATGTTTTCATAAGAAGTCAAGTTAGTCAACACGCTTCTTCAAATAGAAACAAAATCAGCTGTTGATGAGTATTTCTCTTTCAAAATCGTTTGGAGAGCGTACGTACAGCATTTTGCATATATTACACTCGTCCGCAGTGTGCTATATAGCAAAACTTGCGTCTACCCCTCGCTGGTCGAGGGGGGGCCCTCATATGCTCTTGCTGCAAAAAAAACTTCGCCAGAAAAAACTTGGAACTCGCCTGCTCGCACTTACCTTGACGGTGCAACCATATACTATACCAACTGCCCGCTCATCACATAACGCCTCCCTACAACCAGACAACGTCAAAACACGTGTATTGCTAACCTAGCACATACACGTTTTCTGAGGCTAGTCGAATTTATGATCTTGGCAGTTGCAGCCTTGAATTCTTCGCAAGCTGCAGACTTTGCAGTAACACTGATATGTACAGTCATTGTCGGGCTTAATTTTACATTACTATCAATATATATAGTGACGGGAAGTATGTACTTGCAGTAGTTGTATAGTGTACGCCAACTTGCGTCTATACCTGATCATGACTTGACCTATAGCTAGGCCTAGTCAACTAGTAGATGTCTCGGGAACCGTAAATTAACCCCTATTACAACTAATAGTCATAAGGGCTCAATGTAATACAGAAATGAATAAACCCCTGAGGCCGATGTGTTCCAGATTCTATTTATAATACAGGTTTTTTTACTGGCCTATAGCTAAGTTCCTACAATATAAATACGATGTATGGTGTTTGTGCGCGGTTATGCAATGTATTTGCATAACGTGTTACTCGGCTTAGCTTAGTCACTGCGATGGGTAATTCGAGCGTGGGAGCGCAACGTCCCCAGTCTATAAGCACTTATGTCCGTATGCAGCCATTCTCATTCATGGGCGCATTCACGCGAACGTGAGAAATTCTGTCAGTCTTTATCTGTGATTGTGCGACACACAGCTCGGTTACGAAGAGATTAAATTATTTTTTTATAACAAGTCAACAACTTTCACGTCCCCAAATGTCTCCCCTCTGGGTCCCCACTAAATTGCCGAACTGTTCGCTGGCAGCCGATGAGGATCCGCTGCGCGGGTGCGCCTTGCAGCGGAATTGCGCGCAAGATCTGCGCTTATAGCGCTTGGGATCAACACCTCCTTTTGGCAACGCTTCTATAGTATCCCGTCTCATCTGGATGAGGAGTCGTAATGTTACACGAATAAATTAAGGGAAGGAACGAGAATGGAGGGAAGAGAAAGGGACGGGATGGTAATGGGAGAGAACAGGAAGGGAAAGGAGGGGTGAGAGTGACTGTATGAGTATGGTATGTGTACGTGTACTTACATATGTGCATACGTGCATGCGTGCATGTTAGTGCGCGCTCGCGTGCGTGCGTGCATTCGTGCGTGCGTGCATGTCGATATAGAAAACGAGCATAATAGAAGTAAAGGGTTTACGCTGTTGAATGTTGCAGGCTCTTGCGTTAGGTGGCCATGTGAACCAGGCTTTCACTCATGTAACACAACTACTCCGGTGTGCAGGTATGTACACCTACTATTCTATCTGCCTCCATGTAGGCCTAATCAGTGGCTTATAAATACATATATATAAACAACGATTTGTATGTTCTTGATCTAATGCCGTTCATTCACTTATAGTAAATATACAAATATAGATTCACATTTATAGAATGAATGTGTAAGCATTACTATTGAGTATACATGGTGATATATAACATAGACCATGCTCACACTTAATTATACTGAGAAGCAGCATAGAAGGGAGACAAGAGGAGATATTCATAGGTATAGGGAAGTAAGCTAGACCAGGAACCAATAAATAATAGCGTATTTAGCAACGTGATAATAAAACAGGTAAAATTAAATCGAGATAAAAAACGCAGGCAGTCAGAATCTAGATTAATCCAAGATTCTACTTTTCTGTATATTGACACATTCTCCTACTCTATATGTGCTGCCATCTGCAGTTTAATTAAGAAGTAAAGACATTTTAGAGTCGCGTTACGGTGAATGCAAGCATGCACGATAACTGTCACTAACACTTGGAATGCTCACTTGTTTCACAGACTAAGATAAGATAAGATAAGATAAGAGAGTTTATTTTATCACTTTCAATATCAGCAGATACAAGGATTTTTAACAAAATATAAATAACGTGCAATGAAGAGATGACGAAAAGACCATACGGTCATCTAGTCAGCCAACCCTTAAAGAAATTAATTAAGTATAAAGGCATCTGTCAAAAGAATAAGATATATGATGAGAAACATTTGAACAAAATGTTTGTATTATAACAATAAAACAAAAACAAAATTGAACATAATTGGACAATAATAGAACATAATAGTACAGTAATCAAATGTTTACATATGCTAATAAAGAATAACTTAAACGGCATATATTACAATTTATGTCAATGGCATGATTAAATGTATGAAAAACTAATCAAAATAAATAACAAAACAAACAAAACGGGTTTTCAAACTAAACATACATATGTGAGTAAAGAAATATAGCATATAAAGAAATATACTTATCAAGAATATGTATAAATTAAGAAGTCACATAAGATAGGAACATGATGAATTGTAAGCATATATAACACCTTTACATACGTTAGATTTGACAATTAATAATTACATGCAAGAGTAATCAGTATCAGAGTACAGTAATCAGTATGTACAGTAATCGAATATTTACATAGTAATCAAGAATAACTTAAATGGCCTATATTACAATTTATGTCAATGATTGAATGGATAAAAAAACCAGTAAAAAAAACCAGAACAAAACAACACATACAAGCAAAATATCTAGAATAAACAACAGGAGAATCAAAATATACTAGGTGTAGTTAGTCATGAAGGAATGTACTGTTGAATCATGTGTGCTTTGTACGCATAGCTGAACGTTTTAATGGTACGTTATTTAGTAATTGTATTAATGGCATTCCAAAGTTTTGCTCCTGCAGATTTGATGGATTTAAAACCAATAGTTGTAGATACTCTAGGAATATACTATAGGTTAGTTGCTGCTCTAGTTTGATAATGATGTGTATCAGAAGTTCTCTTAAAGTAGTTGCAAAACAATTCAGGGAGAGTCCTTGTATTGTATTTATACATAAATTTACCTAACTCTAGATTATAGATGTCGATTAGTTTAAGTAAATGCAATTCGTGGAAATAAGGGGTTGCAGGGTCTCTCCAGTGAGCAAATTTTACAAGTTTGATAATTTTATTTTGAGCTGTTTGTAGAGGTTTCAGTGTAGTTTTGTTGGCTGTACCCCATGTTAATACTGCGTATGTTAGATACGGATAAACCAGTGAATAATATTAAGTAGTAAGCAGATCTTGTGGAATATAGTGTCTAAGTTTAGATATAATACCTGTTGATCTTGCAATTTTTGCCGAAATATAGGTAATATGATTCTTCCATGTAAGACGATTATCAATGAAGATTCCTAGATATTTTATAGTGGATGTAGAAGGAAGATGGTGGTTTCCCATTTTCACGCTAAAGTTGTTGTTCTGTTTCTTTGAGTTAGAAATAATCATGAACTTAGTTTTCTAATAGTTGACTGATAGGATATTTGCTGATATCCACGTGTCAATTTTTTTAATTTCGGTATTAACTACCTCTAAGTGTTGAAGATCACCGATATTTTTATTTGTCATAAATAGGTTAGTATCATCAGCAAAAAGTCTGGTGTTAAAATTGGTAACATTGGGGAGATCGTTAACATAAATAAGAAAGAATAGTGGACCTAGGGTAGATCCTTGAGGGACACCACAGGTCGTCTCAGCCAAGTTTGATTTGTATGAATTTATAGATGTATAGTGATCGAAAAAAATCTAAAGCCAAACCTCTGATACAATAATGTTCCAGCTTTGTGAGTAATATATTGTGGTTAACTGTATCGAAAGCTTTAGAAAGGTCCAGAAAAATGCAGCAAGTATGCAGTCGAGAGTCTACTGTATTAACCAAGTTATCAAAGATTTCAGCTGTAGCTAGCGCAGTAGAGTAGTTTTTTCGAAACCCAAATTGATACGTATTAAAAACATTATTCTGATTTAAAAATTTCGTGAGGCGAAGATATAAATTAGTTTTTCAAAATTGTTTGATAATGGTGATAAGAGAGAGATAGGCCGATAGTTAGCTGGTTGAGCCTGGTTCATTCTGTTAACCGGTTTTATGTAAAGGAATTATTTTGGCTATTTTGAGTTGGTCCGGAAATTTCCCACTGTTAAAAAAGGAATTAAACAAAATTGTTAAGACATGGGAAATAATAATGATGAGAGGCCGATTTATAAAATTTAGCTGGTACTTCATCGGGCCCAGTTGCCTTATTGACATTCATAGTTTTGAAGATAGAGTTGACTTCTTCATTTACAATAGGAGTCAAACAGATGGACCAGACTATGAAGATCTCTGCTGCGATTACCGGTGTGAACCTAAACCTCCATGCCACATAAACCCATGCTTTTTTACGTGGTGTAGACGAGGCACCGTATGCAAGTAAGTACACTAGGCAACCACTAGCACACATACTAACACAAACACATCTACAAATAATATGTTCATGACGCTACGTAACGTCAGGTCACGCAAAGGTCACGTAAGGGTCACGCAAGCGTTTCTAAACCATGACAGCCGATGATTCAATAACGAATAGATTCCGATTTGATCAGTGTTGTGGCGATGTGTTTGGTGGATGTGTTGTCTCTTTAATGTCAGGAAACAGTATTTTGTACATTCACAATATATATCACACTATATCACAGCATTATACATATTACTGTAGATAAGCGCAATAACTGTTAAAGTTCACGTGTAATTAGCAGTTTTTAATTGGATATGCGAGTAATTTAAACCTGGTTGTCAACTTATTACCTGTGTACGACATTTATTTTCAGGACGGATGAAAATTGCCGGGGAGTATGCGTGGACAGGCCGCAGAAGGGTTCGAATGCATCACTGGCAAGAGGTTGAAAGTTTGCTTCGTCGTTCTAAGACGTTATCACGTGACCTCCCTCCACGCCCGGGGGATAGCAACACCCAATAATACAAGCATGTGATATCGGCCTGCCATCTGGTGTCGGACAACATAACAACTTTAATATATATGTTCTGGAGAATGCTACTATTACCCAGTGATGTTAATTAATATTAAATATAATAATGGTAATATATTTTCTCAATAATTATTTTAAGTATGATATGACAATCATATTATTCAAGGAGAGTTTGTACTCCATGCATTCATGCTCAATAGCTTGTTTGAACTGCAATTATGCTTGCTGGGCAAAATGTTTTAAAATGTCAATTAATAATAATCTCTACAATAAAAATCATGTCTAACTATCTAATCCTTGGTTAGTTTCAATCTTCTCACCAAACATGCACATAAATTAATTTTATACGCTTGTTTGTGCGTAAGTTGAATTTTTTTGCAGGACAAATAAGATTTTATATCGAATTTTTAACGTGATTTTTTGTATAAAATTATTTCTACTGTCAATAGACAAGGGACTATGAAAGGACTAAACATGCAGAGATAAATGCAAAGGACAATGCAAATACAATGTAGGAGACAACAGTACATTATCTAAACAGTATGAACAATGTTATTGCCCACACTTCATAAACAATGTTATTATCTAAGTAGGAAAAACAATGATATAATATGGACTTACTCACAACCAACGACTGCAGCATATGTTTCACGCACGCACACACGCACACACGCACGCACGCATGCACACACGCACGTACGCACGCACGCACGCACGCACGTACACACACTTATATATATATAAATACGAGGAACTGATATTTTCCCAGCGTGCTTGGCTAAGCCTACCTCCCCCTTCAGACACATCCCGCCCAACTTACAGTCATAACTCACAGATTATTGTAATAACAACACAACACTGCGAGTCAAGCAAGGAAGCTAACACGACTTTCTGCTGTATGTATTGTATCCTGAGTGTGCACGCACGCGTGTAGGCGCACGTGCGCTTGTACGTGCACGCACGCGTGAATGCAAATGCGTGTATGTGCGTATATACGAACGCCTGCGGGTACGTGCACCCATGCGCGTACGTGCGCGCACGCGTGTAAGTGCACGCACGCGTGTATGCGCACGCATGCGTTTATGTGGATGCGCGTACGTGCACGCACGTGTGTAAGCGGGCGCATGCGTGTACGTGCACGCATGCGTACACGAACGTGTACGTGCGCGCATACGTGCATGCCCACGCGTCTATGCGCCCGCCCGCGTATATGCACGCACGCGTGTACGTGCGCGCACCCGTGTATCAATACCCGCACGCATATTCGGCCGCCCGCGTGTATGCGCACTACTGCTTGTACGTGCACGCACGCGTGTACGTGCACGCATGCGTACACGCACGTGTACGTGCGCGCATACGTGCATGCCCACGCGTCTATGCGCCCGCCCGCGTATATGCACGCACGCGTGTACGTGCGCGCACACGTGTATCAATACCCGCACGCATATTCGGCCGCCCGCGTGTATGCGCACTACTGCTTGTACGTGCACGCACGCGTGTACGTGCTCGCATGTACGTGCACGCACGCGTGTACGTGCTCGCATGTACGTGCACGCACGCGTGTATGTGCATCATCCCATTTTTAAGCAAAAATTACTTTACATAGCTTCTCAACACATTAACAAAGTAAACGTGCTCATCATATTTCCTTAAATACCTTCAATTTGCATGTTTCTTGCACCAAATTGAAGCTCTTGATCTTCTCTATTCATGAAGGGTATGAGCCAATCACAGCTCATCTTATCTGATATGTGTTATACTCCCACACACGTGTTATATGCTATGCACTGTGAAATCAAGTATTTCTATAATATTTTGCTCCAGCTATGATCTAAATGTGCTTAAGCGCCCCCTATTGCTGATCACCCAACAGTGTAACAATTTTTGGCATCCTAAGCCAATAAAGGGCGGAATACATAGCAGATAGACAGACAGAAGGACAGCGGCGGCGCTACAATCGCATCGTGACAATGATCAGGACAGACACACGCGCGCCTCGCATCTCATGATCAATTCTTGGAACCGCCGCAAGAGTTTCATAGCTTCCGTTTACTCCGCGGTTTCTCACGAATTCAACAATAGGCTGGTAATTTCTGCGCGTGTGTGTCAGCATGCTAGCGCCGTAGTCTCTGTCCGGTCCGTATAGCTCTAGTACTGTCGTAGCCCTAGTACTATAGTACCGTCGTAGCTAGTAGTACTGTCGTAGCCCTTCGCTCCTTCCTCCTGCGACGAAGCACTACGAGTGCGTGTACATATGACGTACGTATGTAATATTACGAGAGCCCAGACCCTCTCATAACTTGAGATGAAGATGGAGATGAAAATATCACATTTGCAGAAGGAATTGCAATTATAGTGATATTATATGTTATATTAATGAGGAAAAGATACGTTTTTCATAGAAAATACATCAGAAAACGTACTTATCTAGCGGTCATAAACGGTAAAACCCAAACAAACATTTACAAATGGGCGTTTGTTCTCTTGTCAAAGGCAAAGCAAATCGAAGCAGCCAATCAGAAGGCGCTAAATTCTTCGCTATGTTATACCGTTTGGGGAAAAAACGCCACAGAATGTCGATCACGTGCTCCTCACGTGCTCACACCTATCTAACTTATAGACAGAGCTATTAGATATATACAGAGCTTAATCTCCGCTATTTCTCAGAAATTCTGCGGCGACGCGTGACTGCATATACGACCCATCAACTATACGCAGCCTTTGTCGATTGCGGATGTGTCCGTGGCCGAAAAGTCCGTCTACCGAGGATGATAGGGGAAGGGGGGGGGATGTGCGGGTAAACTAGGATGTTTGTCATAGTCAGCCACTCACGGCTGTCACAGCCCGCCCTCATGATTCCACCACTACCACACATACACACACACACATGCGCACGCACGCACGCACGCACAGGCACATACACACACACACACAACCACGCTCGCACGCACACACACAACGCATCCCCTCCACCAGACACACACGACAATACAACCACGTGACTCTGCGTTACACATAATTACACACACACATATATATAGAACGAGGTGAAATCCAGATCATACATACAACCAGGTGATTCCACGACACGCACACACGCACGCCCGCACACACGCACGCACGCACGCACGTAGTCGGTTACATCGAACTGCCTCTATACGTGGACAACGAGACGGGACTATCTGATAGACTTACTTGCATCTGGTGAGATATCATCTACATTCCAACGATGAAGCAGCCAACTCTCCTTCTCATCACTCTATGCACTCTACTCGTTGTACTGGGTGAGTTATATATATATATATATATATATATATATTATATATATTTATATATATATATATAAATACCAGAAGTAGATAATAGGACAGAGAGTGTGACTTCAATAACAAGGCAAATTCGTCATTTACTTAGCCTCTAGAATACCCACCCTACGATTTACTAAGGGCGTAACTCAACCAACTTGAGCTCAATCGTGACAGTACACTTCGGCCTAGCACGTGCGAAAAATTTCCGCCTATATACCCGCAATCCGGAGATCAGACAAAACGTACACACGATTTTGCCATTGTTGGCCAGCAAACGAATGTATAGAACTGCTAACTTGAAACAAAAGGCAGCTACTGACGACTCTTGCTCCATGGCGAATGCGGTGTGGATACGAGAAACATTCGCAAGCATGCTAGCGGAATGTACTGTTGTACGATTGAGCTCAAAGTTTGGTCGTAGTTACGCGTATTAAGATCGTGATTCAAAGGCTAGTAATGACGAATTTCGCCTTATATTGAAGTCCCCACTCCTCGCTATTATCTAACTCTGATATATACTGTACATATATACAATAGAGCTGTAAATATCGATACGTTGAAAGACCTGCTTAAACTGACTAGTGAGAGCAATCGTAATAAGCAAATCAAACAAAGGAATATAAAATAAACAGTTTCACATTTCTTTGTTGCTGGCCGACAAGTATTTTAACATGTTCGTTAATAAAAACTAATTGTTGTGTTTTATAGGCTACAGAGCTGAAGGCAAGCGCCCCAATGTAAGTTATACAGCGTCATTCTCATTTAGCGACTTATGTCCCACCAGTCCATATAATACAATGATCAATTAATTTCATGAAGCGTGCTGTTATAAAATAGTTGATGAAAGCAATCGTAATGTTAGCAAAATGAAAGTAAGGGAAGGGAAAGGGAATGGAGAAGACGAGAAAGGAATGGAAGGGAAGGCGGAGGGAGAGCAAGGGAAAAAAGGAGAGAGGGAAGGGGAAGGAAGAGAAGATGAATGAGAGGGGGGCGAGTCTATGGCGTATGGTACGTGTACGTAAGTGTGGCAACATGTGCGTGGCACGACTGCGGATACGTGGGCGGCGGCGTGTACACGAGTGTGCGTGCATTCGTGCGTGCGTGCATGCCTATATAGAAAGCGAGGATAATAGAAGTAAAGGGTTTACGCTGCTGTTCTGAATGTTGCAGGCTATTGCTTTGTGTGGCCATGTGATCCCAGGTTTCACTCATGTGACACAAGTACTGAGGTGTGCAGGTATGTACACCTACCCATTCTATCTGCCTCCATGTAATCAGTGGCTATAAACACTTATATAAACAAGGATTTATATGTTCTTGATCTGATGCCGTTCATTCACTGATAGTATATATATATTATAGCATAAATGTGTAAGTAATGCTATTTAGTATACATGGTGATATATAACATAGACCATGGCTCCCATCACACTATTTACTGATAGGCATAGCAGGCATACGAAGGGAAGACACGAGGAGATTATTCATAGTATAGGGAAGTAATCTAGAGGCCAGGGAACCAATAAATAATAGCGTATTTTCAGCAACGTGATAATAAAACAGGTAAAATTAAATCGAGATGAAAACGGCAGCGCAAGCGATAAACTTGTCCACAACACTAGGTAATGCTCACATTGAGTTTGACAGAGAGGTTTGGCTGCTGGACGGTCACACCGTGTGACGCCTAAACCTCGCCATGCCCACATAATACCCATGCATTTTTACGCTGTGTGGACGCGGCGCGCCGTATGCAAGTAAGTACCTAGCAACGCGAAATCTCATCGCTGAGTTCCACTAGCACACTAACGTTAATGATTAACACGCTCGCTGCTCGGTAAGCGGCCGCTAGGGCCTATCTCACTAGTCAGCTGTACGAAACGCGAGGCAGTCAAGGGCGTAAGCATGAACGACTGTATATCAAGTTAGCTAGGCACACATACTAACAATAACAGCATCTAGCAATTGAGTATGTTCATGAGCGCTACGTGTGACGTCAGGTCCCGCTAAGGTGTCACGTAAGGGTCACGCAAGGCGTTTCTAAACCCATGACAGACCGTAATTCAATAAACGAATAATCGCCGATTTGCTCAGTGTCGTGGCGTTGTGTTGCTGGATGTGTCCCTTTAATGTCAGGAAAACAGTATTTTGTAACATTCAACCAATTTATACTATATCACAGCATTATACATATTACTGTAAGATCAGTGCAAATATACTGTTAAAGTTTACGTGTAATTAGGGGCAGTTTTTAATTGATATGGCGAGTAATTTAAATCTGGTTTGTCAACCTATTACGCTGTGTACGGGCATTTATTTTCAGGAGGCGGATAAAAATTGCCGGGGAGTATGTGAGGACAGGCCTCTGAAGGGTTAGAGTGGCATCACCGCTCATAATACACGCATGTGATATCGGCCTGCATCTTAGTGTCGGATACATACAACTCTTAATATTATATGTTATGGAGAATGCAGCAATTATCCCAGCTGATACTAATTAATATTAAATATAATATATGATAATAGTATGTTTCTCAATAATTATTTTAAAGTATGATATTTGGCATCACATTATTCAAGAAGAAGTTTGTAGCTCCATGCATTCATGTTCACTTACTTTGTTGTACTGCAATTATGCTTTCTGGGCAAAATGTTTAATGTCAATTAATAATAATCTGTACAATAAAAATCATTTCTAACTATCTAATTCCTTTGTTAGTTTGCGCAATACTTCTCAGCTAAACACATGACATTAATTTGATAATTTGTTTTTGTGTTTCAAAGTTTGCAAATTTGTGTTGAAAGGAATATCCAAAGATTTGTTATCAATGTTTTTCGGTTTTTATTGTGATTTTTTGTATAAAATTAAATTCTCCTGTGCTAATAGACAATGGACTATGAAAGGAATAAACGCATGCAGCAGATAAACGGCAAGGAAGGAATGGCAAATACAATGTAGGAGACAACATGGTATTATGCTAAATCAGGGGCATAAACAATGTTATTATCTAAGTAGGCAAAACAATGATATAGAAAATTCTTTTCAATACAACACACTGACAGCAGTTATGAGTTTCAACGCACTGCAGCGCCCGACGCACGCCAGACAAAGCCGGACGCACAGCACGCACCAACGGCCGCGACGCGACGCACGGCATATATACGAGTTGCGGTATATGACGACAAAGAAGATGGATTGGTATATTATATATATATTATAGGTATATATATGTGTGCTCGTGTGTGTGTGTGTGGGTGTGTGTGTTGCTGTGTGCTGTGTGTGTGTGTGTCGTGTGTGTCGTGTGGGTGTTTGGTTGTGCCTCTAGTGGTCGTGCTGTGGTCAAGAAAGGTGCAAGATTGATGTTTGATGGTCGTGTGTGTTGCGTGTCATTTCCTAACCTTGCGTGTGTGCGCGTGCGTGAGCGAGCCGTGTATAAATCTCGGTTCAGGGCGCTCATAATATGTCACTAAGTCGAGCTCTCAGGCAATGCGAGGCAACCTTTCGGAGCACATGCGGGGGGAAAGTTGCCTGAGTAGAGCGTTGTGACTTGAGGTCAAGGTTAGGAAATGTAACGTAATCACTTGCATCGTGTTCTAGACAACATAGGTAAGCACCTGAGCTGGCCGCAGGGAATAATAAATCGCCCACCCACCTACCGCGCGCAGGAATTTCATAGAAAGCTTCCGTTTAGCTCGGCGGTTTCTCACGAAGTTCAACCATATGCTGGTAATTTCTGGCGGCGTGTGTGTGTCAGCATGCTAGCGGGGCCGTAGTCTCTGTCCGGGACGACGCAGGCAAATGTCGATCAGCGTGCTCCTCACGTGGCTCACAGCGCTATCTAAGGCTTATAGAACCAGAGCTATTAGATATATACAGAGCTTTAATGCTCCGCTATTTTCTGGCAGAATTCTGCGGGACGCGTGAGCTGGCAGTATAGCGACGCCGCATGATCAACTTGACGGGGGGGCAGCCGTTTGTCGTTTGCGGATTATGTGCTGGTTTGTAGGTGGCTGCCGCGTTGACACGATCAACGACGACGACACAACCAACCCAGAACGGCCATTGCAACAACACACTCCGAACTTATTTCTTCTCGCTATGCTCATCTCTCACTTATATGAAACATTGATAATCTTATAATATATATTAATATGCGTGCGGTCGTTGGCCAGTTGCTGTGCACGGACGATGGAGCGCTTTCCGTGGCAGTTATGATGGTGCTGTTGCGCCTGTGCATGCGTGCGCGTTTTGCGGCGTGGTTCATAACCTTGCCTACAACCCGTCGATGTGTATTTGGTCTTGTAGGAGAAATTAGAAGTTATGGTAAGATGAGAGATACAGGGTGATGTGGTGCTTTTCGAGCGGTGTAACATACAAGTAGTCATGAATAAGTCATTGTTTTACCATCGCTTGCTTATCATCGCATTTGTATCAGCACTATGTCCTCCGTACGCTGGGCTCCGTGCCCTTCCTCCCTTGCATTTAATCCTCTGCCATGTTTAATTTCCTTTTTTCCTAAATCTACTTGAGTATACTTGGGGAGTCGCTTTACTTTTATACACAATTACCTAAGACTAAACCAAAGCAGAAGACATGGATAGGAATATCAACACAGCAAAAAAAATATTTTATGGGAATATTCCCTATACAACCAAACAAAGTTGCAAAGTCTAATACCCAAAGCGACAGACGTAATCCAAACTGACATGTACGTCGTGTTCGGTTTAGTTGAACGAGTTTGAGAAACTCACAGGATTAGCATAGTGCTTAACCAAATGAGTCATGCGTATTGGTGCACACGAGATTCTTATTCAATATGACACTACAAAACCATAGTTGGCCAGAAAACACATTGACACTAAACCAAAAGCCTAGCGCCAATGAATGCTGGAGACAACTCTCCCTTGAAATAATGTGATTGCCATATCATAAACGTAAAAATACGTAGCATACGTAGATTATTTGAGACAAAGTATATTATATTATTATATTTAATTATTATAACTATAGATACTGGGGTATTGTAGCATCGCCATGGAGACCTACTATACTAGCGTGGAAACATATGCTGCTATGTTATACGCATAGAGAGGCACAGTTAATTCACATTGGACTTGTATTATATGAGGACGGTGATCCCTACCGACTAGTACCTGGTGCCAGAGATGTCCTCCTGTCGTACTGCCCCATAGATTATTTTCATTCGTCTGTAGAGCATATAAAGTGCCCGATACACAGCATGAAATCAAAGGTGGGAAACCGCAGATTTGGTAAGACTCGAATACGCCTATTCAATTCTCAAATACTGTCTCAATTTAACGTATTAAAATCTTAACACTTTATTGTGCGACACACTTGTCATTCTACAGGCTATATATGTCAGTATTTTAGCTTGTTCGATATTTGAGGTATAAGGTTATATACTTTGGTGAAATTATATACACAATACTGTTTCACTCAATTTACGGGGTACACTAAATCCCAAGCACCTCACACGCAACCGCAGATGAAGAAAGAGTTACAGAGAATAGAAATGATGAGTTTATATTGGGAACTTATTCGTGCTGTCGGATCGAGTTAGAACGCTTGACTGCACTTCACGTGCCACACTTGAGGCAGCAACCTGAGTCACGTTAAGCTAAGTCAGAAAATATCAATTGTATTGTGTTTAATTAGTATGCTTCACGAGTGACCCCTGTGTAATACCAGTACTGCCATACTTAGCGACTTGACTTGCGTCTGCTTAGACCAGCGATAGAGTCAGGCCCTAGCGCCGTTAACGAGGCAGGAGCCGTAATCGAAGTTACCAGCTATGTGTGCGAGCGCGGTTGCACAGTCGTATTTATTGACATAGAGCTGTGCAGCGGTCCAACAGCAGCGTGACAAAATGCTGGACTACTGTGGAATGTCGAGAGCGTTCTAGGGAGCACAACGCTTAGACACGAGCAGAGCGCCCAACAGCTCTCCTGTGAAACCAAGTGAGGCATTCCTAGTGTTTAGGTGAAGTTATCGTGCCTGCGTTTTCAATCGATTTAATTTACACACGCGTCTACGAGCTATTACTTATGCACACATTGCTACACTACGCATAATCATACTTATTCATTCACTGGTCTGCAAGCTTACTCCTAGTACATGAAAAATATCTCCTCTTTCGCCACTGCACACAGCTGCTGCTGAGCTTCCGTATAGGTGGTGGGCCCGGTCTATTGTTTATAAATCCATGTATACTATTAGCCATTCACTATCGACAACATACTTATGTTAGATACGACACGGCGATGTACACGACTACGCAACGCCTCAGTACAGTGAGAATCGAACAGGCACACTCACACCGAACAGCAACGATAATGAATAACGCTATGCGCATGACATCAAGCTTTTACAAAGAGCCACACCTGCTCGCAGTGGAGACAGGACTTAAGACGATCATGGGTAACATACCCTGGCAATGCAACCTACAGGGTTTCTTGTGTATGTACAGCATGACGTGATAGACCTGGCGAGCTCACGGCCACACGCTGGCCAACCGAAAGAGTCAATGCCTGCAGCACACATTCGAATCAGGCAGTCGATAACAGCAATATTACTTCTATTTGAATTCTCTACCGGGGCGATTTCTAATATAGGCATGCAAGCAACGGCACTGGAGTGCACGCACACTCGTGGTACTACGCGCGCAACGTTCCGCAGGTAGGCACGGCACATGTGCGAGCCAGCGTTAACGTACACGGTACCATACGCATAGACTCGCCGGCCACCTCTCATTATATCGCTGCTTTCCCTCACCTTCCTCGGTCGCTTGCTCCCTTTGTCTTCCCTTGCTGGGACTCGCTCTCGTTCCCTTCCATTTCCTTTCTCCTCCTTCTCGCGATTCTTCCCTTCCTTACGTTTCATTTGTAACGATTAACGACAATTTATCATCAACTTATTTCTATGAACACCATGTGTCATGGAGAAGTTAAGCAACTCGAGCCACGGATCGTAGTGTCTCTAGCGATCACGTCACGCGAGCACACAGGCTGGGCTGAGCACAGTAAGTGTACAAACTCGACCCACGAATCTCAACGACATGTATAACTACTTGCGAGAGAGAGTGAGCTAATATATTGATATATTATCATGCATCATTGCATGCATTCCACTCGTGAATGGGGCTATCACCAGCTCAAACAATGCTCACATTTCTGTTTTATTTCATTTTATTTGCGCATTTCATATAAACGCATAAAACTACGACAGTTTGTTAGGGCAAATAAGTCATAGGCAACGAGTAAATACATATCCGCATGCATAAAGCCTACTGAACTGCATAGAAATTCTTGTGTTTGAGCATAAATTGGGCATATCCGGCCCAAATCGCATATCCGGATGGCATGTGGGGCTGT